GTACGCCACTGATTAAATTGTTCTCGGGTTTGAGGATTTTTCACTTCATGGCTCGTTAAACCTAGAAACTTCTTATCTTCTGGAATATTATCATTCGGTAAACTCAACCAGGCAAGCCGTGCATTTGATGGGTCCCTTTCTTTGAATCGTCTCCAAGCATTTTGAATAATTCTTGCTGAACCATCTCTAGTTTTAGCTTTGCTACATAAATAATCCCAATGTTGCTTCATCAAATCTGCTGGTTCAAGTCTTTCAATATATCTATATATAGCACTAGCATATACCTTCTTTGGCTTCTCATCATTAACTTGAATCAATTTCCAACAATCGAGACAAATTGCCATACGAGTTTTATGAATTCTAGGTCGGTAGTAATCATAATCTACAAATTTACCCTTACCAAATGCTAGAAATAGAGCATGTGCATGGTAAACGCTCCTCTTTCTCTCAGAGACTAGCTCTTGTAAAGGAATTCGAACTCTGAGTGCCCATTCTCTTGGAGTTTCATGTGGTCGAATAATTGATAAAGTATCATACTGTCTTTCAACCTCGAAGAGATCATCAAAGAATCGTTGATAATTATTAATGCTACAATAATTATAGATATATGACTTTACATACCTCATATCATATCCCGGTCTATTATTAATGAGCTTCATTGATTTAGCTTTTTTATCAATAATAGTGGGGATAACAAGACCTAACATATTTGATGATTTAACGTATTATACTGTTTAGACAGTTATAAATATTATATTAAGATTATTAGACCTATGAGATTTGGCACGATATATACAATTAAAACCAAATTCATTTTTGTGTATTCGAAATAACTTATATTAAAGATTCAATAATATATAAACTTCTCACCTGAAAAACGACACAAAAGCAACTAAAATGCTAACAAATCAAAAATAGTATATACCTAGTTCTACAGTTCTAGTTAAGCATAACTTTACTCATTGACGACGGTATAAGAACATTGGTAAGATATTGCAAAGCAATGAGACAAGTCTTCTAAATTTCGGGTATAAATTTTTCTGGTGGATACATTCAATCACTCTCTGTGGTGTGGTTCAGTTGTTTAGGAAGTTTGCGTTACCTTCCCCCTAATACACGCCCCACATTAAGGATGACGATCGCGCCCAGGATAAAGGAAAATGCTGTGTTTATGTAAGTTTCGAGGTGGATACATTCAAACTACAATGATAGCGACGATCACACCCTCTATAAGTAAAGAAAAAAAAATTAGGGAGGAAACAATCGAATCCTAAGCCTACCTCGAAAGGTTATGACTGCACCTGAGAAGACTATTCTATAAAGGATAACATATTTTTTGCGGAACAAACGATACTTTCACCAAAGTACTGAGCTACTAAACGGTAATTATGAGCATGTTCAATCTCACAACACACATAGTCAGAGGCCCTATCGCTCAATATTAAGAGACGAAATTTTTTGCTTGACTAAGCATACTCGTACAAATAGCTCTGGCAATCATCTTATCAACACAAAAACAACCTAGTGTGAGAAGGTGGAATATCGGTAAAAAAAATCAAAAATTGAAAAATTTATATAAAAGGGATACTATTGTCTTATACATCACAAAACAATAATTAACCAGGGCGCATTGTTTACTAAATTCGGCACTACAATTATTGAACACGGGGTACGGTAATAATTTTACACGCTATATATCGATATTTAAGCCCGATTTACAAATTTAGAATAACCGTTATACACTAACAAAAATATCAAAGCATGTTGATCAAACATCTAGCATCGCATTTGTTACCCCGCCATTAAGAATAACCTCATGGCCGTCAAATCATAGGACTTTTCTCGGCACCGATCCATGCTGAAATAAATTGGGTACACGAGAATTCATACATTTGTTCCAGAAAAAATAAAGTATTATCGCATGACTTAACGGCCCCACGGGTCCGTGTACATGTTTTTCGGGTTACGATAATAAATTATTTTTTATTACTATTATCAGTATGTCTCAACAGCACTTCGACAGCACTTCGACAGTGGCTTAGACAATTTTATATATGTTTATTATGAAAAAGTCAACAGCAGTTCAACGGTGGCTTAACAGCAGTTATCTAGAATCTATATTTTAATAATACGTATTCATGAAATTTTAGTAAACATACGTGTGCGCTATTTTAACACAACTACGTAGCGGTTAGATCATTTCGAATTTATTCTGTCATGCTATCATATGACTTAACGGTCCCACGGGTCCGCATAAATTCTTATCGCATAAATTTTGTGTCCCCGACGGCCTCCAGAGGCTGTCGGAGTATAGTTAACTAATATTTTTATATTTTTATGATAACGATAGCGATCACTCGATATTCAGGTTTATCAGTTCGAATGTGCGATAAAAATTTGACCGGCTTTAATGATCAATGGCCTGCATTAAATTTTATGCGGTGTCACTCCAGTGACACTCCCTGCAGAATCATTTCTCACGGTCGATTTTTGATTAACAGTTAATAACTACGCGCTCTAGAACTTTTTCCTTACCTTATATAAGATCCCGCGATAAGAAAGGGCTATAAGGGCAATGGGTATAACGTTCTTAATCAGTAGTTTGATCAAAATTCATATGTTGCAGGAACTTGGAATCTCCGCCATCTCCGAGATCGTCAGATCTAAACCTACCTTAAGCAATCGTCGATTATTAGGGGGTTAATTTCACCAGAAAAAATAACAAAATAGCTTCAGTATACGGAACTTATGACCGAGCGGAGTTGCTTTACTAAGTGGGATCCGGCATTGTGTTAGGTAAGGTAATTACTAATCGTGTAATTTCTCTTTTAGCAGGTTTTCCAGAATTGGCGAATTAAGCAAATATAAAGATAAGTGGGTTTGGCAAGTGGGCTAGTAATAAGTTGCCCATATTTTTTTTTTTCGAAAAAAAACTGTTTAACATACACGCAATTTATTCTCAAGTAATGTATTGTTTATTGATATGCTATAAGTCGAAGACTCTGCGCTTCAGGACATAATGCACTTTTTGCTTTTTCTTTTATGAGAATGACGTTTCACTAACTATGGGTTTTTCATAATAGGAAACACAGAAATGGCTAATAATATTGCTCTCAATTTTCGCATTAACGGTGGTGGAATTTTTGAACTTGATAATGTTAATCCAACAATAACTGTCAGAGCACTCAAAACTATGATTAGAAATGGGAACTATGTTACTTCTACTATTTTCGAACTTTATAGAAATGATTTTGCAAGAGAGGTAGAAGAAAATATGAAAGATGAAGCTACTGTTGGTGCATATTTCAACGGGATTCCTGATTCAAATAGAATTCACATTATTATAAGATGATGTATAATATATTTTTTTTATTTGTATTCGCACTATGTAAAACGATATTTTTTATTTGTATATTATCGTTCCGGCAATAATTTTTATAAATAAAGAAGGGGTCCGCCGGGCTCTTAATTTTTATTTTTACGCGATTTTTTATAGCAATTGACTATGATTTTTGGTTACTAATTAGAAGATTACTAGCTCTGTGTAGCAATTATGACATTTATTTAAAGTATCAAATCAGAGTTGCAACAATAATTCAAAAACTCATAAGCATCTGATTTGGATATTTACGGAAAAACAGGATGATATTCCAGGATCAATTTAAAACATAATTAAAAGCTTCTTAATAGGGATTTTAAACTTTATTGTATGTAAAAGGGAAGTAATATATAATCCTATAGAATCCATAAATCATGTCATCCCACCCGAATTTAATAAATTGGACCATCAGGTGTTATAAATGTCGGAAGTAAGTTATTACAGTCTACTAGATTTGGAGGGGTGGTAGGGTTGTCTTTTTCGAGTAACAATTGATTAATCGAATGAATTCTCCTAACAACATTAGCTATTAATTTGTTTGCCATTAATATTCCTTTACACAATTTATTTACCATTTGTATTGTCCTTCGTTCGTTGCTGTTTATGAGTGGTATCTCTAATGACTTTACCAGGCACATTCGATTAAACGGTTTCATTTTACGATCTAAGATATATATATCCATTTTTGTTCCATAAAAATGTATCATCACATGGTTCAATTCATCCATCATCTCCTTTAATAATTGATCCGAGGCATCGATTCCCTGAGTTAAGAGATATACATTATTCCATGAGTCTTTCGAAAATTTTCCAAGTCGTAATTCATCTCCCCAATAATGGTCCCAATCAAGTGCATACGGTCCATTGCTTATTTCACAAAACATGAATTCCCATTTATAATTAGGTGATCTAAAACTCTTAGATACCATTAAGTCGGGAAGACGTGTTGGTCCGGACTGTCCTCCGTTCCGATTTTGGGTGGATTTAGATGGTCCTTGTTGTTTAATAAATCAACAGGAGAAAAAAATCAAAATTAAAGTTTTTAACAAAAATTTATAGACGAAAAAATGATAATTACCATTATATTCGATATTGACCCTTTTAATGTTATACAATAATAAATCACAAACAGACTTAACCACTTGATGCGAATATGAACTTTCGTTAATTTTAGAAGATTTTTGTATATACAAAGGTAGTTCCCAAGCACATTCCAGTTGGTTCAAAAACATTTCTAAGCAACTATAAAATTTTTTGGCGTCCTCTCGACTGTTAGGTGCGGTACAGTATCCATGTTTAATATGATTGCATATAAAATTTTCTTCCTCAATCGTCAAATTCGTTTTATATTGATTTCGTTCAGCTTTACTCCATAATAATTCCTCCAAACAGTCTTGCTCTACAATGAGATCAAACAATCGTTTATGGTACTTTTGTAAAAAAGTATGGTTAACAATGCCATTGGTAAGTAGATCTTGTGGACTTAATTTTTCATTTTGTATGTTATCGCAGATTATTCTCACAATTGTTGGCATGCGTGGATATATCGTTACGAGCTAGTAAAATAAAGATTAATTTTATTCAATATAACTTAACAAATATCATAATAAGCTTACATTTGAGATTTTACTTTTAATCTCATAGCTGTTAAATTCTACTAAAGAAAAATCTTCAGATTCCTCGCTTGTGGTATCTCCTATATCATCAATTGAAGCAATCGAATCCTTTTCCTCGCCAATATTAT